GGCGTCGTTTTCCCAATGAAAAATTCTAGAGAATTTCGTACAACCTTTTGCGTAAGATAACGGTTATAGTTCTTAAACTTTGGCATATATTTCTAACTTTTAGCGCTACAATTGGCAGAAAATGATCCGTATTCGGCGATCCGTAGTTTATTTTTGCGGTAAAAAATACCCCGTAAATTTATTTTTAGGATGCCCTATTATAGACCTTTCCAGCGCTTATCACCGCGGAGGAAAATGATGAGTCACCGAACTGCAAACGCATCTGCGGCGTTTCATATTTTGTGGAAGTGCGCTTCTGCGCAAGATCAGAACGTCTTCTACAGCTCAGTATATAGACCAAGATGACAGCGCGCAGAAGGCGATTGTCAGAAAATGTCTATACTCCGTTTCACATTGAACGCTACGACCCGATGGAGCGAGACAAGCAGCGCCGAAAGTGCATTGCCACGGCGCTCGTTGTCATTGTAAACTTACCGTCACCGGCTTAAAAGCCGACCTTCAGAATCGACTTCTGCCGGGCAGAAAATCGGTTCCCAGTTTCCTTCTTACCACTCCCTCTTGCACGCTTCTCTCCTCCTCTCCCCACAGGAGGGCGTCTCTGAGCTACTCCCCGCAGAAAGAAGGAGCGTCTCCCACTTTCTCGAATGGAAAGGAGAAATAGAGGGGGTTTCCTCCTTTCTGCTCATTGGTCGGCCTTTAAGTCTAGACGCAGTCGACGCTACGAGCTGACAGGACCAATCGGGAGGTGTGAAAAGCACTCCATCACGGTGTTCGTCGTGTTTCTGTACGTGTTGTATAATCGCTGAACCAGAAACAGAAAAGGCCAGTAACTTGCGCTATTCACGTAGCTCGATCGGTCCCATTAGGGAATTTTCGTACATCGTTTTCGCCGTCCCGCAACGCCCTCCGCAACCCGCTACGTTACCCGGAACTCTACAGTCAAGGCCATCGGCGCGCAGGCGCAGGAGCAACCTCTTCGTTGCGGAGGGCTTAGCGGAGGGGGAAACGCAGTCTACAAAAACTCCCTATTAGCTCGCAGCGTCCGCTGCGTGAGCTGAATCGAAGGATCTCCGAACAACTCCTAGCGCAGTCGTCCTGAAACAAGGACAGTGCGCAGCGCACTTCGGTCGTACGACCCACCGCCAGATGCTGTGATTATATGACTGGCCCGAAAGAGCTGGCGACTGAACCTGCAGAGCCAACTTTCTATTTGAGCCGTACCGTCGATTTCGCAGAAGTCGCCAATATCGCCAAGTTTACGAGTTATTGGATGTCTGCGTGCAAGGTTCTCCGTGCGTAACGGTAAAAATGAAATGTGTAACTTTCATTTCCTTATGCGAGTGGAAAGCGTTTCGCGAGGTGTTGGTATATAAAAACTGCTGGAGTGTTTGTTTTGTTTTTTCGCAAGGATGCCCATTGGATGCGTTTCCACTCCTTCAAAGCGTGCCCTGGCTGCACATTTTGGTAATAATAATTGGCGAGTGCACAGTACAAACGTGTTCGATTGACGTATACAGAGATCGGCGCAAAAAAAGAGATTGCCGCCCTTTTTTTTTTTACTTCAAATTGATACAATTTTGGTGAATTCCTCTTCTACTTATTTGCGACAAATAAACAAAATAGCACCACGAAAAAAAAAAAAAAAGGAAACCATGAAGTCACTAAAACACGAATCCGGGCCTCCATCTGAATGGCGTCAAACTACATTTTCAACTTGGGGTGTTTCGAAAATCGGCAACAGTGACTTGCAAAAAATTTATATTTAGAAAGCTGTATCAGAGTTTCGCAACAGCCTGTGGAACATAACAGGAATGCAGGAAACGAGAAAAACACTCAAGTCGTCGGTAGAGAGAGAGCGACTGGACATCACGGTAAACAATACCTGTACGAAAGTGACGTTATGGTCGCTACGGGTTACACAGTATTGCTTCAGATACAAGTTACTAACCCATTTTTTTATTATATTATTATGTTACAGGTGTTATAGTACAGCATTTCAAAGAAGAGATTAAGTTTAGCTTAAAACACGACGAAGAGAAAAGAGCCCTTCTTGTTCCCATCTTAATGGACCAATTTCAAAACACCGTCGAGCAACATTGGCCGTCGCCATTTTGTGGGCACGAAGCGCGTGATTGGATCCGAGTCCTCGCCGAACTCACGCCGAATGCTGACGCAGCCCTCGTGACCATTCACGTGCTCAGGGTACGTGCCCCAGCAATGGTGGACTCGCTTTATTAGAACAGTAGGATGGCGGGCACTTTTAAAAAGGATCTACTCAGTATTCGGTTTGGGGCGTTCTTTCAGGCTTCATGCCATAGGTGTCATCTTTGCTTCGTATTTGACGCAAAGTGGTGTCATATCTAAAAAAAATGGCGCTTAATAAAATCAACCAATTTTATCCACAGTAGCAACTCTGTTCTATATTACATTAAAAAAACTAAATCTTGACCCACGTTTTTTTTTTTTTAGTCATTAAAAGTTATGATTATAGTGAATTTGCCTCATCATTTTCATGGCGTACGTATAACTACACTATAAGAAAATTCGTGTGGCACCAGGGACTTTTAGGAAACCGTTACCGTGTTCCTTACGGCAACGCTCCGGAGTCCGGACGCGGGCTTAAAACCATACTTCAAAGGCTCCAGTACTGCACAGTACGCTGAACACGGTAACGATTCGCTAAATGTCCCTATTGTCGTCGTTCTTAATCAGACTGACATTTGCTGGAAATTGCAATAATTCTTGCCTGTGCCCCTGGCGGTGCTCCAGCCTCTGACGTCCCAGACAACTTCCGGTTCTTAAAAAAAACGTACACAAAGCCCACCTTAACAGCGCTGCTTAAAATGTCGAAGAATCGTTTAACCACCTATCCTACAGGTGAACGCCAAAAGGTCGAAGAAGCGCTATAGGTGTGTTCAAATTTTTCGAATACTCTTGTAAGCCAACTTGTATCATCCAAAACGTTAAACTGTACAGCCGAATGTTCTCGTTAAACCTCCATGTTTGTTGTCCGTGCAGCATTTTGCTTTCTACATAAGCAACCTCGAAAGGCTTGATGTTGCTTGGGACACAAGAGGCGGTGTAAACTCCCTAACCCGATTCTCATCGGCCGGAAAGTAAAGTACTTTATTCACACGAAAGTTCTATTTCTTAAGGGCCAACGTCACACCATCGGCCATGGTGAGCATGCAGAGGTGAATGCGATCATCTCGGTGCAGTTTTCGGTTGAGTGCTCGCAGCGCCACCGCTCCTTCCTCGTAGCGAGGAGCGTGGACGGTACCGTAGACGTTCCCCATCCAAAAGACCTTAAACGAAGAAAATAACCAATAATTAACTCTTCGTGCGCTGTAGGACTCACGGACAGTTTAGCAGACGCAGATGGGGTCTTATTATATTCGAGCTTCTATTGTAACCACACTGCTAATACATCATACAAAAGACAGTCTGCGGACTGTCTGAGGCGTGCTTCTTCCTTGTGCGGCAGTCCTGCCACATTGGCCATAGAAGAACTGTCTGGAGACGTCATCGGAACACACATATGTGGCGTATCCGCCGATAATTCAGCCATTATGTCTGCAACAAACACGATGTCGCCTGTATGATGGATACGAGCAGTGTAGGTCCGGAACATTCTATTACCGCTCCGAAGACAATAATATTGAGGCATCAGCCAATAAAGGAGAGACACAGTACACTCTAAAAAGAGCGTGCCACCTTACACCCTTTTGGTGCCATATAATGCACCCCAAAACTTCAATTCGACGTACAGCACACTATAGTCGAACAGACGGCCCCAAATCTCGCGAGGGGCTTGGTAACGGTGCGATATAACTCGTTAAATAGTTAAAGTACGTATCAAATACCACGGAAAGAATACACTGAGGTTTTGCAGTAGGGCCAAGAAAAACCCCGATTATTTTCTTGTAGTTAGTAACACGTATATTAACTATTTTAATAAGTTGTACCACAGGGCTATCAAGCCTCTCGTGTAAGTTAGTACCATCAGATTGAGGTCAATGTGCTTTACGTCGAACTGAAGTTTTGGGGTGTCTTATATGGGACAAGGGGTGTAAGAATACACTCTTTTTCTCTGAGAGTGTAGAACACGTCGCATAAGTGTCTGTAGCTTCGTAATTCGGTTCTCGACATTCTTATCTGTTGATTCTAGGGCTGGGCGTCGATTAAAAAATTTAACCCGAATGATCGACACCCCTTGATCGATTATTTATTCGATTAATCGGTTTCGTTCATTCCCATATGCACAATAGCTTATGTAGTCACACTGTCGTGTCGTGCCGAATACTCAGAAAAAGTAATTAGTATAAGATACTAAAAACCCGTTTGAAAATGTTATTAGAGTGGTATCTAAGTCACTTTTAACGCGAACCATCTTGAGTAGGGTGCAAATACTTTGAAAAATTAATTAAATTAATTCAGAATCACATTCTGCTTTGATCTTTATGACTTGCAAGAAGAGACTCAGCTCTTGCAATCGAAGTTTACTTTGAAATAATTTGGTACATGCAGCATTATAAGTACCAAAAGATTTTAGGAACAAGGGGTACTCGCGTATTGCAGGCATGGCCACTGGCGGGCTTTAGTTTGGCGGCATGGCACGGCTCAATAAGTTCGTAATATGTCTTGACTCGACTCGGAGCACTTGACAGATATTCCGGCATTGCATATCCCGAACAGTCGAATTAGAAGGGGATCAGGCAGCCAGACTTGACGATGAGAAGGCGAGTGAACGACAAACGTTCACGATCAGGAGAAACATCGGCTCGAGGACAGCATGCAGCCTCTGTCACTGATCAACAACCACGAGGCAATATTTTATGTCTACTGCTAAGGTCGAGGAGGAGCGCTTGTACCTTCAAACTCTCCAAAAAAAGTTAGGAGGGTCAAGACGGTAACACAAGTAACACAAGAGAGTGTCCAAGAAAGCGCTTCCAATATATCCATTCCCTTCCGCATCCGCATCGTAAAGAAATTGAACTCACATTGTCAATAGCAATGATGCCGTTCCTTCTGACCAGCTGCAAACTCTTCTCGTAGTAAACGTCGACATCACCCTTGTCCGCGTCGATAAAGACAAAGTCGAATGTTCCCGCTTGGCCTTCCGCTAGTAGGGCGTCTGAAATAGAAGTTTTGGGAAGGAGTTAAGGGCGCTCGCCGCGACCCTTTGGTGGCAGGTCAAGAATTCAGTGACGTAAAAACTTGAAGCCAATCGCCACCACCTGTGTTGATGACGTAACGGTTGTAAGGTGGAAATTGCTTTGACATGGAAGACGGTCTCGAGAACGGCAACGAGGACACAAGAGTCTTCATCGAGGCTGACAGACGCGCTTGCGTACCGGTGCTAACCTTCGTGCACAGATACGCACTGCCTCCCGTGCCATCCAGGATGACGTACTCTCGCAAACGCCTTATTACGAACACAGAGTGGGTTTCATCAGCCGAGTTCTATGAGAAAACCGTCACGAAGGAGCGTCATGAACAACCGTCATGAGGGACAGTGACATTACGTGGTATCTTGAAGTCACGTGACGCCACACCTTGGCGTGACACCCCGAGGTCATGCGATACCATGACGTCACATGACGCCGTGATGTGCCATCATGAGGTCACGTCACACCGTGAAGTCACACAGTCACGTGACGTCACGATGCCATGGGACATCATGACAAGGCTTCCTACTTTATTCGCGCGTTGCAACAGGCAATCACTTTTAAAGTGTTAAATCAAGAAAAAATGTCAACATTATACGTAAAAATACTCTTAATTGATAACAATAAAAACGGCGCCTGCTTTTCTTTTTCTTTTTTTTTTTACGTTAGAATTTCGATGGCATTTGCAGTTGGCCCGGGGAAATGGAAGGTGTGTTCTTGCTTACTCAACGTCTCTCTGGCTGGCCCGATCCTAGTCTCAATCTTATGATCCACGCCCGCCTGGAGAAAAACAATAAAACGTCAGAGGAATGGCGGGACTTTCATTCTTTAGCAAAATGATTTGTTGGCCTAGTTGGTTAAACATTACGAAAATTAAAAAGCGCAAAAGACAAGGACAAGAGGGAGACAACACAGGACAAGCGCTTGTCCTGTGTTGTCTCCCTCTTGTCCTTGTCTTTTGCGCTTTTTAATTTTCGTAACTTTCATTCTTTCTCTGCTATATTTTAAAATTGGCGCGTGCTTTATTTTTCAAAAAGAAATACGGGTTCAGACGAATGTGAGTTGAGGGGTGTTACGTGCCTGCTTCCAGAAAGGTCGACCGAGATCCACGTGGCACTCGTGAAGTTCCAGTGTAACCAGTTTGCCGTCAGGGGGCAGCGCCAACGCAGCAGCCAGTGCGCTGCACCCAGTGTAAGTACCTGCAAGACCACAATTTGTCGAAACTTCCATAAAGTTTAGCTTTCATATAAATAAATGAAGCGAAAAAAAAAAAAAAAAGAAACTCAAGAATTCGGAAGAAATAGAAATTGCCTCAGCGTTTATAGTATAAACTTTGCTGTCTCCGAAGCCTCAACTCCTGCACACCGCAGTACTAGAGCTGACACAATTAAAATATTCTTGCTTACCGATTTCGAGATATTTCTTCGCATTTATTGCCCTAAGTAGAAGCTGGAAAAGCTGGAGCTCGCAACTGTCTCCCATCATGCGACCCCCGGGCAGACTATTGGTCAACTGCAAAATACAACACGCGTATATACACGCATTAGTATTACTCCCGAAGCTCTAGGTACATAATTAAAAAAAAAAAAAAAATTGGTGCCAGGAAAACTGCACAAATGTTCACTTTTAACGGGATAGCGTTAGGGAGCTCGTGTCGCAAAAAATCCGGCGTCGGTGGCGTGGAATTAAAGCCCGCGTCGGTGGCGTGAGCGAAAATCCTGATTGGTCATTAGCAGTGATCTTTATGGCGATTGCTAGATCGCGCTTCCCCGCTCCGCGAGTGCAGCCACCGGACGGCCATCTTGGGACACGGAAAATCGACCTTTTGGAGCGTTGCGGAGGCTGGGCGGCAGCGTGCTCAAGACACGTTTTCATAGATGGCGTCGGGAGCAGCGTCTGAAGGTGCAGCCGACCAGCGAAAGATAGCAGACGACACGCAGCAGAAATCCGTTGGCAGCAAAAGCGCCGCCGTTATGCAGACGCGTTTTTTACTTTAAATGTAGCTTTTATTGTTCGCATTTATGTTTTAACCGAAGGTGCATTTCAAAAAGATTATATTCATTTTAATAAACCACAGTGGTCGCGAGCCGTCGCGATAAGGAGGTATACCCCATCTATGAATACGAACGCCAAACACCCCCTACTACTGGACCCCCGTCGTCTGCGTTGCTGCCCGCCGTAGACCTTGGCAAGTTTCTTGGCCTTATTTTTTACAGAAAGAGAGCTACGTTTTGTAATTTTACAAGAAAAAACCGACCTGTGAATTACACCTTTGACGAGAAGTTTAGATGGCTACGTGCAGGCGTCAATTTTTACGGTCCATTTTAGATCGAGCTTGGTGACTTGAACCACCCTATATATATGTATATATATATATATATAACACGAGGCAAAATCTATGCCTTCCTGTGAGATATGTGAGCGCCAGACGTGAATGTCTCTTTCTCTCGCCCATAGCACCTGGGAGGCAACGTTATGGAGCAAGCTCACTTTCGCAGCTCCCTATTCTCGCCTGCTGAGGCGAGTGGCCCAGGTGGCGGTCACGAGAATTAGCGGCGCTGCAGTCGGATCTTACTTCCCTGTCTCGCGCGTCTTCTGCTACCACCACGTTGAGAGCCTTTTATTTTCCTTTTTCAATTTCCTTTTCTTCCCTTTTTTTTTTTTTTACAAAAAAAATGATGATGCTGAAGTGTAATACACCACAGAGATCAGAGTCGGCGCAGTGTGAAAATTCTTTCTTTGAGTGTTTGAAATTTATTTTTGTGCGCGTCTGTTTCCTAGCGCTGTGAAGTGTTAGTTTGAATCACCGGTTCGCCCAATGCTAATCAAACTTGGCGGGCTAGACAATCCGGAAGTAAGACTCGGCTGCAGCGCTGCTAGTTCTCGTGACCGCCACTGAGCCCACGTCGCAGGCGGAGCTGTAAAACTGAGCTTGCTCCAGCAACGTTGCTGGGAGGCACCTCGCGGTCAGCTTCTAGTCAGCTCGCATCGTGGACAGAGAGGGCAGAACATGCCACCGAACGATTGGACACGAGTGTTGGGTCACGGTTCGGCAGGGCACTTTTGACCACGGACATTCGAGCTCGAGTCCAATGGTTACGGCCATGGGCCTTCTCAAAGATGGGAGAATTGGACATAAAACGACGCCTCCTGTCGGACCAGAGCTAGAAAATCGCATTTCTTTTTCCTTTCGTCAGCACCTCATCCGCAGAGGGGTTCTTCATTACTCATTAATCTAGTAGTTTTTTTGTCCCTGCTTTATTTTTCCAATTTGTCTCACAACGTTTCGGCTCGCCCAATGGATACGTTTTCATTTGCATTTCAAACAAACCGTATTTTGTTGTTTATTAATGCCTAAGCATTAGCAGCCATATGACAGGGAAAAGCTGACGGCGTTCGTTTGCGGACACCGTCAGCATATACAAGCGCGAGCTTGCCTGCGCTCATGGATTTGAGACATACATTTTTAGCGCGAGTGCTCGATCTGCGGATGAATTAATTAATAAAAAAAATATATATATAAAGAAAGATCCATCTTGGATCCTTAGGGAATGCGTTAGCATACCATTTGGGAAACGCCACACATGTTCCCTTTTGGGAAACGCTAACACTGAATCCGTTACGAAGCCAAAGAGAGGCAGCAGAAAATTGAGGAAGCAAAAAAGAAAGCCAAAACAGAAAGGCGAAGGGGTCAGCATCAGCGTTTCCCTTAGGGATACGTGTGTAGCGTTTCCCAAAGGTCATGCTAACGCATTCCCTAAGGATGCATCAATGGATCGTCCTTTCATGTCCTGGAAATATCAGTAACAAAGGAACCGAAGGAGAGCAGAAATCAGTCTTACGTAGATCAGCTCCAGCTGCGCAGGATGAAGGCGAAGGCTGTTAGCTGCGGCATACTGCACAGCGTTCTCGTCGGTGTGACCAGCTTTCGGTGGAATGTTGAAGAGATTCTAGACCAGTATAAACAGATTATAAACATCGTCAGTTGCACTGTAGCCCCCTGGATCGCGTCTCCGACTGGTGTGTATACCATGTCCATTTTCGCCCGATGACGCGACAGAAGTGCCATGCGCCAGAGCCGTATCTTGGGAGGGTTTGGCCATACATTAGTTTGAATCACGGTGTAAGGTAATACTCTTCAGGTGAGGACAGCGCGCTCCTCGCGACGTGCCCGATAAAGTTCGCTCTTCACTCTCTCTCACTATGGTTTGAGGCGGCGCCGGCAGGTGACTCGTCGACCCGTGGGCACGTACAAGACGGCTCGTGCCGCCTCATGTACCACACGCGCAGAGCTACAGCGAGGTTGTCGCACGTGCGGAAAGACCACGGTTTACTGGGGTGTCATGGCAACGAGATAATTTGTTTCGCTCGCACACAGTTTCGCCGTTTGGCCGCCGGCGACACTGTCAGCCGCGGGCACGCAGAGCCGTTTATTGAGAGAGTTGGCCATATCATTGGTTTGAATAGGCGAGCATCTCGGGGCCAACCACAGGCCGCGAAACAGCCCCTAGCGGTGGTGGTGTGCTCTAAATTTGTGACACGACTAATTTAAGCCGTTTTAGCGTCGCTAGAGTGGAAAGCTTTAGTTCTCGGTGACTGACATTCCAATATTCAGGTGTAGAATAAACGAACATGCGCTCCAATCCAAGGCCGACTTGCCAGAAACAGCGTCTCAGCTGAGACGGGGAAAGAAAGCACTGCCAAAACCAGCGCACGAGCCAAGCGGGACTCCGCGTCTCAAGACGCTCGCGCGCCCCACCCTTTGCACTTTTTTTTTCAGCCAGTATCAGCTTAGAGGCGCTGTTCTAGCAAGCCGGCCCAGAGCAAACTGTCACCGATACTCCATCTGCGCAAACATCAGCAGTGCAGACAAAGGCATGGGCACGAGCGCTTGGCTTTGGAAAATGCCTCCTATGCACGAGTTCTCGTACAAACAAAAGCATTTCTCTGAGCTAGGCTCACCCGCCTGTGCCTGTGTCTTTACTGCAGACATTTGTGAGATGGAGTAGAGAGGCCGAGATTGAGCGCTTCTATTTCACGCCTTAAAGGGGTGCTCCACCGATTTTTTGAGCTACCTCAACTAACTATATTTCCTGACTCCCCGGCCTTTACTCTCTCCGGTATGCTATTTAGAATCGCGAAATTCATAATAGTTATTGCGAAATCGGCAAATGAAAATGATGCAAACACCAACATTCAAATATACGCGCGCTTTTCAGGGCCGTGACGTCAGTGGCAGGCAGGCTTGCCAGTCGAGCAAGCAGCCAAAAAATAGAATATGCCAATCATTTGTTCCGTGCTGGAGCGCGGGTACTGCAGCGAGCTTCCCAAGCATTCATTTGACACCATGAAACTGCTTCGAATCAGTTTAAAACAAAATCTACAACCCAAAGAGTGAACCCCTGCCTTCCACTGACGTCACCTTTTCATTGTTGCCAGTAGAGACTTCAAGCTTGAAAAACACGGTGAGGACCAAAACTGTAAATTCAATAACTTCGCGAAAAAACAATATTTTGACCTAATATTTGGGATACTATTTTCGCGATGTTTGTTGGTTAGTTTAGCAAAATTTCAAGCAAATCGGAGACAATGAAAAAATCGGTGGAGTAGCCCTTTAAAGGGATTGTCCGGTCAAATTTTGTATTCGAGAAAACAATTGAATATCATTGTTTTTTCCTCGAGTCGGGTCGCACGTGCAATATCTGAATTTTATGTGCCCCTCTGCGTGAGTAATTGAATTTATGCTGCTCCAATCGCATTCTAGCGTAAACGCTGCTTTCGTTGGCAACATTGAAGCTCTGACGTCACAGAACACAAAGCGAGCATTTTTGTCTGCCTCAGCGTGCTTCGTTTTTGTTGTTGTGCTCGACTTGTTTCGTAGTTGGGTGAGATTTTTGTTGCGCGGTTGGGTGCCACAACCACCGGGCAGCACGTGCGAGCCAAGACATGACATTCCACACTTTTCCGCGAGACGTGCAGTGTCGAGCGAAGTGGATCGTTACGGGTCCATATCACAAGAGCGAATGACATTTTAGCGAACGGCGACATTTGAGCGAATGGTCGTTTTAGCGAATAACGGGGGCGCGCGTTAACCCATCCGTCGCGCTGCGCTTTACGCCGCTTCGCGGCGACAGTCTGCGGCAACTCATTACAAAAATATGAACTCACTTGGCCCACCCGAAAACGCCGCTTCGCGGCGTCCGACTATTCGCTAAAGTGTCATTCGATGAAACGTGGGCGTTCGCTAAAACGTCATTCGATCAAGTGAGTGCCTCCTGGGACTTATAGGTTCCCGTCAAGATCGAGATCCCGCTTATGCGGCAATCATCTCACAGAAGAGAGCTACGAGCTGAGCTCTAAGCGGACAGAAGGCTCGTAAGCTGAGGTGTGATGCTGTGCCAACGATATAGAACTACGTCCATCCACTCCTCGCCCAAATCGGATTAATCAATTTGATTATGCAGCGAAACCGAAGCCAACAGCTAGGCCATCTGGAAACT